TTTACATATATATACGTATACGTATATTTACTATTTACAATATACAATTTATAATAGTAGATATATGTATACGTATACGTATATTTACATATATATATGTATATGTATACATATATTTACTATTGCTTGACAACACTTTTGTGGTTCTGGTGAGCGAAGTCCTTGGAAGCTAGATACTTAGCATCATTACTTCAGTCAGGATTCACTTGTGCTAAGGAAATCAGAAAAATGGACTTTTCTGGGCTTCCACGATCTGTGTTTATTGTTCTATATAAGAAGGTCCCCAAAATGTGTTCTGTGAATACTGAGGTTCTGTATCATGCTAATAGATGCTCTATGGCAAAAAGGGTTTCCCAGTCAAATGGGAACAGGAAATGCTGTATATTCTATCTCTGCCTTAGATGTTCACAGTGTATGTTGCCATATTGCTGAGAAGTCCCACAGCAAGGAAACCTGTTGATCTGTTGTCCCCCCAGATAAACTCTTTTCATGGAAAAACTGTTTCAAGCTTTAGATCATAGCTCATGAAATGACTGCTCGAAAGTGTAAACAGAGAACAAAATTGATTATTTTCAGACTGATCATAAAATTTCTGGAAATGTCTTACTCTCATTCAGCACCACATAAACATGCAATTCTTCATTCCAGACTGAATTTCCTGAACACCCTCCACAAACCAGGCTGCAGGCCAGGCCCTGCATCCATGATAGGTCATGGGTAGCGCTCTGAAGTCTCTGTTGGCCTGGGTAGGACGATGAACAATAAAACAGAAGATTAAGGCCAGAACATTGTGGTAAATGCTCCCCGCAAAGAGTTGTGAGGGAGCACGTAGCATAGTATGCAACGCCGTCTGGGATTTGGTGCGTAAGATTTCTGCCTCCTCGCCGAGGCTTGAAGGTGTAGGAATCGAAGTCAGCCCACTCAAGAGTGACGATGGAGAAATGTGTTTGAAACCCACAAAGTGAACACAGCAGGCTGAAGTCAGAACAGTGGGAGCAGTCATAATATTGGGTCGAACCCCATGAAGTTGCTATTTTTTTGTAGGTCAGTGTCAAATAGTCAAGTATCAGCAATTTCATACAGTTCTACATAATACTGAGCTAGGATTTATCAAACCCTTAGTTTATACAAGACACTAAATGAATCTATTTGCATACTGTTTAGTGTCCCCAGTAAACTGATAAGATACATACTGCTTTTATCCACATGTATACAGAAAAGAAGGTGAGTACAGAGAAATTAGATACTTGCCCAGGATCACAGGGCTAGGAAGTGAGAGAGCCCAGCTTAACAGACACCTCAGCAACCCGAATTCAAGCCTGCCGGAGCCACATCGTGCAGGTTGAAGGTTATGTTGACCCATATTACGGAGGTGCCATTAAAAGGTTTTTGTGGTTTGATACATGTTTATAACAACTTTATTCATAATCTCCCCAAACTGGGAATGTTGTAAATTTGCCTCATGGCTACCACCAGGAGAATGGATAAACAAATTGCAAATGTAGTCATATAGTGGATTACGGCTCACTCA